GGCGACCCCTCTGACACCCCCTCGCGACCCCCTCAGGGGTCCCGACCCCCAGGTTGAGAAACACTGATGTAGTGGGTGGGTTGTGGGGTTGCTGTACTGTGGGTGGTGGGTTGTCTTTGTATGTGCATATATCAGTAAATAATTTACATTGTCTGATAAAATCTTTAAAAATATCTAAATACCCCCTTCTTTCCTCCTTTTAAAGGCTTTTAAAAACCTATCTATGCAATCTAGCTTATGGAGAGGCGGAGGATGAATATCCTTTTGCATATATCCTCACGTTGGTCTACCCCAGCCCGCTGGACATGGCATACTATTTTATTTTAATGTATTGTGTTTAATTTGTATGACTCCTTATGTTATATTATGTTTACTTAATTTAATTATCAGCTAATATTTGGTTGGTATTATAAGTTATATTGAGATCATTTATTCCTTAGATGCAGGCGAAACGTCAGGAGAAAAATTGCCTCCAGAACATGGCCATGTAGCCCGGAAAAACCTACAACAACCCATTTATTCCTTGTTTACGTCTTTATTGCTATGCAGCTGTTCTTGGCATTGAATGTTTGCCATTTTTGTTATTTCCTGGAAACCACCCAGAGTCCCCTCGGGGGGAGAGGGCGGGTTATAAGTAAAATTATTATTATTAGTAGTATTAGTATTATTAGAATTAGTATTATATTTATACCCTGCTTTATCCTGCCAAAGGGAGATAAATATTAGGCATCACCCTTTCTTCCTTCTATCATTCATTCTTTTCATTCTCCATACTTTCTTTTCATTTTTTCTTTCTGGATGCATTCCCTTCTTGTTTACGAAACAGTGATTGCCTTTGTTGGCATCTGTGTATGTCCTTGAGACCCTGATGTCTGCATTTCTTGGTATTCCCATTTTCAACATGACCCATGAAGGGAAAAGGAGGAAATCTTGCAGGTAAAGAAGGTTTCTGTCTTTCATCACTGATCTTTTGCTTCTTTCTTCACCAGGGAAATGAGGATTCTATGGAGCCAACTCTTGGGTGCAGTAAGGAAACCATTAATATAGGAAGAAGGAAGAAAGAATCTCAAGGTGATGATCTTGCCGATTCCTGACTTCATTTACAGATAAGAAAGGGAAAAAAGTAGCGCCAACTATCTGCATTGCAATTCAACATCCATATCACTATTGACATGGAGGAGAAAGCATTTAAATGCCTGGAGTGTGGAAAGAGTTTTACTCGGAGGGATCATCTGCAGCAACATGAAAGAACCCACACTGGGAAGAAGCCCTATAAGTGTCTGGAGTGTGGACAGAGCTTCAGTCATCGTTCATATCTACATAGACATCAAACAACACATACTGGAGAGAAAGCCTATAAATGCTTGGAGTGTGGAAAGATCTTCACTGAGAATGGAAGTCTTCGACTGCATGAAAGGACTCATACTAGGGAGAAACCCTATGCATGCCTGGAGTGTGGAAAAAGCTTCACTCGTAATTCAGGTCTACATGTGCATCAAAGAATTCACACTGGGGAGAAACCCTATGCATGCCTGGAGTGTGGAAAAAGCTTCATTTGTAATTCAGGTCTATATGTGCATCAAAAAACTCACACCGGGGTGAAACCTTTTAAGTGTTTGGAGTGTGGACTTAGCTTCTCTGAGAATAGAAGTCTACGACAGCATGAAAGAACTCATACTGGGGAGAAACCCTATAAATGCCTGCCGTGTGGACAGAGGTTCTCTCAGAATTCAGGTCTACGACAGCATCAAAGGATACATACTGGGGAGAAACCCTATAAATGCCTGGAGTGTGAAAAGAGCTTCACTAACAGTGGAAGTCTACATAGACATCAAAGGACTCACACTGGGGAGAAACCCTATAAATGCCTGGAGTGTGGACAGAGCTTCAATATCAATGGAAATCTACGTAGACATCAAAGGACTCACACAGGGGAAAAATCCTTTAAATGCCTGAAGTGTGGACAGAGCTTCATTGATAATTCAAGTCTACATAGACATCAAAGAACTCACACTGGGGAGAAACCTTATACATGCCTGGACTGTGGGCAGAGCTTCACTCAGGGTTCAAGTCTGCGTTTACATCAAAGGACTCACACTGGGGAGAAACCCTATAAATGCCTGGAGTGTAGTCAGAGTTTCACTCAGGGTTCAAGTCTGCGTTTACATCAAAGGACTCACACTGGGGAGAAACCCTATAAATGCCTGGAGTGTGGAAACAGCTTCACTAACAATGGAAATCTACGTGTCCATCAAAGGACTCACACTGGGGAGAAACCCTATAAATGCCTGGAGTGTGGACAGAGCTTCAGTAACAATGGAAATCTATGTAGACATCAAAGGACTCACACTGGGGAAAAACCCTATACATGCCTGGAGTGTGGACAGAGCTTCACTCATAATTCAGGTCTACGTTTGCATGAAAGGACTCATACTGGGGAGAAGCCCTATAAATGCCTGGAGTGTGGAAAGAGCTTCGCTCACAGTGGACATCTACGTAGACATCAAAGTACTCACGCTGGGTAGAAACACTATAAATGCCTGGATTGTGGACGACGCTTCACTCGAATGTGCCTGGAATGTGGACAGAGATTCACTTGGGGTTCAAATCTGCATTCACATTAAAGGATTCACACTGGGGAGAAAGCTGATACCTGCCTGGAGTGAGGAAAGAGTTTCACTGAGAGTGAACTTCTACCTTCACATCAAATTACTCACACTGGGGAGAAACCCTATAAATGCCTGGGTTGTGGACGACGCTTCACTCGTAATTCAAGTCTATGTTCACATCAAAGGACCCACACTAGGGAGAAACAGTGAATGGAGTGTGGAAAGAGCTTCTCTGAGAGTTCAAAGCTACATAGACATAGAATTCAAATTGGAAAGAGCAGTAGTATTTGACCCCAGAGAGACTCCCTAAAAGAGAACTTTGCCAACTTTTCATGTTGCTGACACTCTTTTTAGACATGCATCCTTTCGCAATGGATGTATGATTAATGATTTTCGGAATGGTCCCAGATTACAAATATGGATGACATGATTTTAATAGTGATTATAATGTTTATATATTTTAATGTGCATTTTTCTTCAAATTTTTAATTTCTTAAATTTTAACTTAAATGTATTTGTTGCTCTGAAAGACATCAAATAGTTGCCATTTGTAAAGCCGCCTTGAGTCCCCTTCAGGGTAGAGAAAGGCGGGATAGAAATAGAGTAAACAAAGAAATACAACATGACACTCTTCCAAACCCCCCACCCACGACTAAGGCAGGAAGGAAGGAAGGAGGGAAGGGAAGGGGAAGGGGAAGGGGAAGGGAGGAAGTAGTGTGAAACTAATGTTACAAAAAAAAAAAACCCCACCCTTATCCTGCATTAATAAATTCCCTTTGTGACAACTCTGAAATCTAGTTTTTATCTTCTTTTCTAGATCCATTCCATAACTACACATGCCATAATGGGGTTTTTTGTTCCGTCCCCTCTATCTTTTCCAAATCGCTAATAGACTTACTCTTATGGGATGTCTATGGAAAACTTTATTAATGCCATCTTGTCCATTCCATAAATATGCATGCCAGCCAAATCTTAGGTCATATCCCTCCAGGTTGAGTAAAGCTCAGTTTTCTACTCTTACCCCTTCCTTTAGCCAGCTGAAGCCTAGCACTTTGTAATAATTCCTAACTCATTTTGAAATCTGTGCGTACAGACTATAACCGAAGTGGAGAAAGCCAGCCTTGGATTGCGGCTCTGGAGACCAGGGGCTGAATCTCCGCTTGGCCACAAAGTCTACTGGGTGACCTTGGCTGTGTCACGCTCTCTCAGCCTCAGAACAAAGCCAGGGCAAGCAGATTTTGAACAACGTATTGTGAAAGGCTTTCAAGGCCGGAATCACTGGGTTGTTGTGGGCTTTCTAACCTTGCCCCTTCCTTTAGCCAGCGGAAGCCTCCCACTTCGTATTCATACTTCATGTCTGGCAGCGCTAAGCCCCTCTCTCTTTGGCATCTCTTAGGTTTCTGTAAGCAATGCTAGCTTTTTTTCCCATTCCATATAAATTTAGTCAAATCCTTCCTCCAATGTTTGAAAATTCTCCCTCCTTTAAATATTAATAGATTTTGGAATAAAACAGCATTTTGAGTCAGATCACTTTTATCACCGCTATTCTCCCCACCCAAGTTAATTGAATTTAATTAATTGCCATCTTTCCAAATTTTCTTCAATCTCCTTCCACATTTTTTGATAATTATTTTGAAATATGTTATTGTCTGAACATGGTTTAAATGTAGTGAAATATTATAGTTTAAACTGTGTGATGTAGCAATATAATGTAAGAGTTAAATGCATAGAGCTGTGATGGATTCCTAGAGCGTAACTTTGGAGACTTCCGGTGACGTAGTTACATTCCAAGAGATCTGATAACTATGTTCTCTTGCTTCCAACGATGTACGGCTAGGTGAACGGGCGTGTTTTCTCTACTTCTGTAAATAGTATATCGTTTGTAGTTTAGTATTTGCAATAAAGTAAGCCACTCCAGGCTTTGGAGTTGATCCAAGGAAGCATGGTGAATTTATTTTCCTTGTGCTTTCCAAGCAGACGCTGGAGAGTCAAGAACTATTGAGAGAAGAGACAGAGGTCATTTATCTCAATAAATCAACAGTTATTTTTGATAGTTAGCCGTAATCCTTGATACGTTACTTTCAATATTGCTTTTTGACAGAGTTTTAATTAGAACATGAACTTCTCTTTATTCATTTTACATCCTGCCACATTCTCATACTCATTAATTGTTTCAGCAATGGCCAAGTGACAAAAAGAGGGTGCGTTATGGCGCAGGGCATTACATTCATTCAATTCTACGGCACATTAGACTTGCGTAAATATGACACACACAGCGCCTAGCAGGGTCTCGGCAGGGAAGGTCAGTCTTGAAGATGCCGGTCTCTCAGTAGGTGCCCCCTCTCTCCTCCTCAGCATCCCTCAAATGTCAGGAGAATGGAATCAGCAGCAGCAGACACCAGCAAAGTGACTATGGAAGGATGAGATGCAGCCCAGGTGCCAAGCACTTTCCCCCGGGAGATATAGGGCTCTTGGAAACTGGACCACCTGAAACACCTCTGAGCAGCTGCCAAGGCGTCTCAAAGTATGAGTGGCTCCAAGAAAGGAGGGAGGGGGAGAGGGGAGAAAAGGCAAGAGGGACCCATGGGAGTAGCACAGAATCCTGGAGCCGAGAGAGACCTCCCAAAGGCCATCTAGTCTGACCCCGTCTGCCAGGGAGGAAAACACACAATCCAAGCCTGGTCATCCAGCCTCTGTTTCATCGAACTCTAGAGAATGAGACTCCACCAGACTCCTAGAATGTCTGTATGTGATTTGGAAGGGACCTCAAAGGGCATCTAGTCTGGCCCCTTTTGCTAGGTAGGAAGAAACAATGCAAGTCTGCCCAACAGTTGGCCACCCAGGCTTTGATTTAAAGAGCTCTAGAGATGGAGACTCCACCAAACTCCATAGAAGTCCATACTACATTTGAAGTGGATCTCAAAGGTCATCTAGTCTGACCTCCCCCTACTGAGGAGGGATGATGGGAATAGCATAGCAGGAAGACATACTGTCCCAGCCTGCCGAAGACATAGCCATTCAGCCTCAGTTCCACCGACCTCTAGAGAAGGCGACTCACTCCTCCAGATTCCTGGGAAGTCTGTATTAGGTTTGGAAGGGACCCGAAATATCATCCAGTGTGCCCCTCCTCCCCC